CCCCTTAACCCACTTTTCCCCCCCCATTGCATTCATTCACACACCTTGGTGAAGTATATCTGCTTGAGGCCATCAATGACGGAGGTGCACACCTTCATGGGCACGGGCTTCTTGCCGTCGCGACCGCCGCCGCGTCGACCGCCGCCGCCGAAGAAACCACCGCCTGTGAATGAAGCGGTTGGGGGGACGGTTGGAGGTTTGGCGGCAGTTGGGAATTATTGGGGGAGGGGGGCGGAAAAGGCCTGCTGCTAACGGCAGAGGTTGCAAAGGGACGGGGAGGGCACCCGCCACCCCCAAGACTCAACAAAGGCCCCGAATACGCGGACCCGAATACGAGGGACACCCCCCCCAGCGGACTGCGCTGATCTTCATTCCTGCTTGCAGAGCAGCAGCTGCTGCTGCTGCTGCTGCCGGGGGGGGCCCCCGGGGGCCGGACGGATAGTCGGGATGTAACCCTAATCAACGGCGTGTGAAAGAGGCGTGCAGACGTCTGCACACGAGGAGGAAGCAAAAACTTAACAATATTCTTTACTGTTATTATGTTTATTATGTTGACTACATAGTAAATAATGTTTTTATTAAATATCAGAATTTGGGTGATAGACGCAAAATAACGTGGCGTGGCGGAGGAGGTGGCGGAGGTGTACATGGGAGGATTACCCTAGGAGGATTGGGGTTTAAGAATCGGCGCCCCTCTCCTCTCCCCCTCCTCCGCTTCCTCACGTCCCACCCCCCTCCCCGGCCCCCCCCCACCTTGGTTCTGGGCGCTCCAGTCCCCCGCCGGGTTGTGACGGCCCGTACTGAACGTGTCCGGAGGCGGCGGAGCCGAGAAATGAGCGGCGTGGGGAGCATTGGGGGCCCCGCCGCCGCCGCCGCCAACGGCAGCTCCGACAGCGACGCCGACGGCGCCGGCGGCACCCGCAGCTCCACCGGCGGCGCCTCCGCCTGGCCCCATCGACGGGACGCTGCCGTATATGGCGCCCCCCACCGGCGCCGCCGGCGCGGCATCAATGGGCTTGCCGTCAGCGTCGCTTAGCCCTGCCATCGTGGGCAGTCGGAATCCGCCGGCGTCTATCTGGGCCAGGTAGCCATCCTTGGTGACCGGCTGACCCTGAGTGGAGTAGTGGGTGGGGTGGCGTAGTGGGTGGTAATGGACGTAGAAGGGGTGGTGGGTGGAGCATGCGGCCTTAGCTAAGCAAATACAGGACCTATTTTATATTATACGCCCGTGACAAACCCAGCCAAATCGCAGCCACCAAGTGTCCTATAAATCACCAAAAAGCCGAGAAAAATAAACCCAAGAATCACCCCCCGAGCCCCGGTCAGCGCCTTTCCCTCCCCCCCCCCGGATATCCCATGTTGGTGCTCTCCTTGTGCAAAGCTCCCTTGTTGGCCGCAATGCCCCGTTTCTTCATTCAATGTCGGTTTGCACCAGAGGGGCCGCCGTTCACCCCCTCCTCCTTTTTCCCATCTCCCCCATATACCTTTTCCCCCCCCTTTCCAACCCTCCCCTGCCGCTCCTCCCCTCCACCCACCGCCCGCTCCTCCTCCTCCTCCTCCAGCATGCAACTTACCGACTGCGCTAGGGAGATCAGGTCCATGGCCTTGTGGAAGGCCATTCGGTCCAGGTACCCCAGCCGCCTGTCATTCGCCAGCTCCCACACGGTGGCCAGGACCTGGTCAGTGGCGGCGGGCGGCGGCGGGGTTGGAGGAGTCATACGTGTCTCTCTCTCTTTCTCTCTCTTTTTCTTTCTCTCTCTCTCTCTCTCTCTGTGTGTGTATGTGTATAAAGAAACAACGAAAACAAAGTTAGGAGGTGCGGAGGACCCTTGTTGGAGTTGTGTGATGGATGCAGTGCACACGCGACCACCCGCTAGCAGCCCCCCAGAACCACAATCACAACCACCCCCACCGCTACCCACCCATAACCCATTACCCATAACCCCACCCCCGCCACCCACACCTCTCTGGGCAGCCCTGAGCGGCCAAAGAACGCCACAGCATCCCCGCCCGTAACTCGGCCATCGCGATCCGAGTCAGCCGATTGAAACCAGCGGTCGTAGTGTACGGCATTGCTGGAGGACATTTCAGCGACAAGGCTCTTCTTTCCTGGCTGCTGCTGCTGTTGCTGCTACAACTGGTGGGTGCTACTGCCTATGCCCTATTAACTAGATCTTGCTACAGCTGCTGGACTTCTGTTGCCGAGCCAAGTCCAGCCAAGCTGCACGCAGGAGAGCAATCTTTGGCCTTTGGCTGATCGAGCTGTACTACTCCGGATCGAAGAATGGTGATGTGCGCGCTGCTGCCTTCACTCTGGTGAAGTGTTGGTGTTGGTGTTGATGAGGGAGCCGGGGGGAAGACCGTGCAGTATGAGGCCGGCGGTGTTGTTGTGTGAGCCCTCTCCTCGGGTAGCGGAAGCCTCTCCTGAGCCGTGTGCTGCGGCTCCAGCGGCTCCCTGCAGCTGCGGAGAGATGCTTTGTTACCCTTTCATGCTAGAGAAAGAAGTGAATCGTAGGGACGGCGTGTGTCGGAAGGGAGGATGTAGGGGGGTTATCACTAAGGTAGGTTCATGCCCTTGAGGAAGAAACACAGTCCAGGTGGGGTTCGCGGGACTTTTCTGTGATGAATGCAAGAAGGGCGTCGCCGGTGGGCGAAGTGCAGCCTTCAAGTGGGGCGGCCCGGCCCCTCTCTTGCGCAGCTCTGCTGTCGATTGCATTTTCCCTCACCAGGTGAAGGCCCAACATACGTGCTACCTTGGCACAAAGCTGCGTGTTATGTGTTAGTTCTGTCCTGCTGCATCTGTGACGTAGATCAACCTAGAAAAGTAATCGCACCTACGTTCTATGATTGCACCGTCCGTCCAGTCCAACTGGCGCGAAGTCTTAGCACCCAAGCTTATAGTCGAAATGCATCTTGACCAGGCTTGTTACCTTTTGGTTGGACCCACCTGAAGCCTCCTACTCCTTGGGCTTTCCGTCTGCAGCCTTCTTCAGGTCGTCAAACAAGAAGCGCGAGCTGGCCCCGGGGCCTCCACCAGCTGATTGGTTAGAAAATCCGCCGGTGGTGAAGACAAAAGCCTGATAAAGCGTAAGCGCTGCGGCTGCCGGGAATACGATGTAATCGATAAGAGACAAAGAGCCCTTCTTGAAGAGGCGACCCATTTAGCGACACATCGTAAGAGGATTTCGGTGTAGTGTTTGTGATCATAAACGCAAAAGATGTTTGTCGCCTGGCAGCTATGGTAAGCATCAGCTAGAGTGCTACGGCGGTGTGGAATGGGTCGGCGGGTCTCCTACCAGAAATCCGACATCTTCAGCGCCAAATGCGCTTCAAAAGACACGTTGCTTGTAAAATTCAAATCGTGGCAAACGCCACGTCTTAACTGTCGCGACAAATAAAACCTGTTTCGCGGAGCTGTCGGAAGCTTGGGCCTCAGCACCAGCAGCCTTAGGCTCACTGCTCACCATGGCCCGCTCGACTGTCCACACCTACCTGCTGCGAATGAACCCAAACTTTCCGGTGCTCCCCCTTTCCCCCTATGGCTCCAATCAGAAACGCCGCAAGAGTGACGGCGTAAGAAAGAGATGCGTGTGTGCACGTTTCACCATGGAAGGCTTTGGGACACGCGCTGAAGGCGGTGTGACCCTTTCTTTGTGGATTGGGAACTGTGTTGTTCTGGTCATGGGGCCCGATTCATACACATGTGGTGTCGACACACGACACACCGTTGCACGAGCGAGCGGACAGATCCCCCCTGGAGGACCCTTGAAGGACAGGTTGTTAGCACACCGTGTAACGACGTGGGAGCTAAGAAGTCGCGTGGGAGCAAATGAGGGCCACGAGACCTCACGAATGAGCCCCGTCCATCCCAGCTGCCGCAGGAAGATGGAGACGGCCTCCATCACCTCACCCGCATCCGTCTTAGCCAAAGTAGTCGACGGTCTTTTGTGCCCAAGCTTCTGGTAACCAGACTTGGACGGGGCGGGTGGAGGATAGGGATTGGAGTAAGGCCTCGAACTTTTCCTTCCAGCTAACTGCCTATGAAACATGGCAAACACACGTCCGCCTTTCCTTTGCCCGACTGCCACAGATCGTACGCCACCGTACTTCCCCGCCGGTTGACATCAGCAGTGGCGACATGACGGATAGCGGTTTTATGTCGCTGATTATGACAGCATGTTTCGAACCGTTCTGTAGGTGATCTCAAGCCGTAAGCTGTAGGCCGTAATGTCACGAGTGGAGCAGTTAGGCACTCAGGTAAGGATTGCAACAGGTATGTATCGTTAGGGATGCGTGAGATATACCAGGAATAGATATACCCAGAAAGCGAACCAGACCCCTTTGCAGTAGGGTTTCCAGACAAGACTCATGTGACCTACGTACCGAGCTTCCGCTGAGGCGGTCGTAAATTCGGAATTTCGCAAGGACATACTTCCTTTTGGAATGGAATGAACAGATAGGAAGTACTCCCTACGGAAGTGCCACCGTAGAAGGGGCTTAAGTTAAATTGGGCCTACCAATCTTAGGTTTCAAGCGCAACACAACTCCCACCAAGAACGCCATGGTGCATGGCATGCGAGAGTGTCCGCATTAGAAGCGCAGAGCAAAGCCGCTTTCGTTGAAGACATGCCACTAGCCTTCTGCATTTAAGTGTTTGACAGCCTGGAAACGGTTCAGCAAAGCTCAGGCCGATATTGCATATTACGGCGACAATTTGTTCAGCTCCAGGCAACAGCGACACTTATTTGTCCAGCCTATTTGTTCAGATTCAGGCAAAAATGAAGTTTCCATCATAGAAACCTTACTGGAAATGCGGTACCAATACAGAAAGAAACGCAACTTTTAGACCTATGATAAAGAGGTTCTTCGGGGGGCTCATCTTGCAGGGCCCTTTGCGATCTTGTACGGCGACCCCCATCGGCAAGGACTCAAGAGGCGGCCTCAGCGCTGCAAGTATTCGTCCCATCTTTCGACGGAACCCAACCTCAATAGTCCCAATGGCCACCATGCAGCTTGCTCCCCGCGGTCTGGCTCCCCTTCGGTAGGTCTAGCACGAGTCTATCAAGACGACGTGGCACCGTAGGTTGCCTTGGAAGTCTAACATGTTCGGATGAAGGCATGAAAACATTAATATGTAGAGAATGGTATGAACATAAATGTTATTGTGTGAAATATAGCTTCAGCTTCGTTGTCGGTGCAGCGCTCAACCTCCTTTCGTGCCATTGGTGTCCCTGAACCTGTCGCAGCCCCCGCGTGTCGTCGCGCGTTGTGGTCAAGCCTGTGGCTAGCGGCGGCGGCAAGACCGACATCACCAAGGTTGGCCTGAACTCCATTGAGGACGAGGTTGTCAAGATGAACCTGATGGGCAAGTCCCGCTTCATGAACAACAAGGAGTGGAAGGACTCGTCCGGTCGCAAGGGCAAGGTAAGGTTGGGGCATTCGAGTCGGCCACTTTTCCTTGCTTGTTGCTTCCCTTATCGGACACGTCGTTCAATACATGCTCATATTTGCATCTATAAATAATTTAAGCTAATCATCTAGACTATTTTATAGATTTCAACTTGTTGAATCCTGTTTTGTGCGTTGCGCGCCTGGAAGGATCGCCGTGCTCTCATAGCTTATGACCTCCCCATCCTTACAGGGCTACGGTGTCTACCGTTACGCCGACAAGTACGGCGCCAACGTGGATGGCTACTCGCCAATCTACACCCCGGACCTGTGGACTGAGTCGGGTGACTCCTACAAGCTGGGCACCAAGGGCCTCATTGCCTGGTGCGCCGGGGATTGTATGACTCAGACTTGTTGAAATGTAGGGGAAAGGGCTGCAAGTTCAACAGTATTTGAGGGTTTATGGAGGGTTGTTGAGCTTTTCCGCAGCATTTATTTGAAACGTTGCATGTCTTGCTGCAATGCAGGGCTGGCCTCGTCCTGGTTCTGCTGGCCGTCGGCGTGAACCTGATCATCTCGACCTCGCAGCTGGGCGCGTAAAGACTCTGACATGAGCCTTTTGTGTATTAGCGTGATGAGATGTCCCTGTCTAGAGAAGAGAAGGATGTGTTTCCCTCTGGAAGGTTTTGCCCCGACGTTGGGCGGAAAGGATGAGGTGGTGATGGTGTAGATGGCGGTGTACCATAACCTATGCCGGGTCCCTTTCGGGACACGACAGCAACAATTGCTGTGAAATTTGCGCGTTTTGTTTACAGTTTGAATGTAAACACTATCGATCTTTTGTCGTGCTTGTGGCTCTATATAGCCCCCACATCCACATGCATTACCGTACTGCTCGTTAGATATTCAGCCACTGATTCTAGAAGATTGGCGAATGTGCCGCAACTAGCTAGCAACATACGTCCACTTTAACCCATATACAAGCAATCTGCAAAGATGGCTGTAAGTGCCGCAACAAGGGCATAGCCGACGAACACCCATCAGCATAGTCAAAACTGCATAAGCCTGAACATCAAAAGCATGTCTTGCTGGATCATCCGGTTTTCGGCGAAATAAGATTTGATATGGGTTTCCCACTCTTGAGCATATGAAAGGACGCCATGAAGTGGGGATCTAAACATCTGGCGAAGATGCTGCAACGTATGTGGTCCCACCACAACTCTATCGTCCCCTTTGGTCGTTAGCCTCCTTCATTGTCTAAGTGCGAGGTAGGACGGTGCTTACAGGCGATATGAGCCCGAGGCTCGAACTGGGCGGATTGCAGGTACGGGGTACGCACCCCCGCGACCATGTAACACACACACACACACACATTAAATTCAGATACATCCATTTCTTACTAATATCATCTTTCCCTTCTGAATCTGCTCTTTAAAACTGCCGTAATTCGCCTGCTCCAATGATATTATCGTTTCTGGATCCAGCGGTGCCATGCCAAGGGACACGTTACCTACATCTGGCCCGTAGGATCTTCCGGATAGCACCTGGGCCCCCGACCCTTTGCCCCATACCACAGCACAGACCTAATCTGGACAATAAAGCACTGTCGCATAAAATCGGGTACTCCAACGCGGTAATGCTCGAGTTTGCGCACGTCGGCAAGACTTTTGGCGACCCATCCACGTCACATGACTCTGCACGACAGCAGTCAAGTGACAAGCCAAGGTATTTCGCGCGCTCTTTAATAGCTGGTAGGTCCGCGAGGTCCGTAGGTCTTAAATAACGGGATTCAGGGGTAGCACTCCTCACACACGTCTCCACAAAGTCTTAGCAGGTGTTCGTACACACTACGTGATTGGAATGTATCCCTAGTACATGTCATCTGCACCCAGACGTCAGTCGTCTTGGCATCAGCAAAACCATGTCCGTACCATATGCAGGCAAGAAACATGGCGCAGTAACTAATGCTGTAGTACACTGTTTGGCAAATGGTTAGGCCGAGGGCCGAGGGCATGTGTACACCTGATATTCCATGCCATGCCTGGTCACGCAATTGCCCGCTGCGCTCTGGCAACCACCACTTGAACATACCACCAGACAGATTTGAGTTCAGCTCGGATTTCTTTTTCACCATATCAGCGAGCTCCAGGGAGGGGCGAAAGCGAAATTGGCCTATGGCGGGGCTACGCGACTTTCGGGATGATTGGACGACTTAGATGCGACTGAACGAAGCGATCGGAGCCTCTAAGTCTAGTTCTGTGCCACGTCATAAATCCGTAATCAAACGGCGAATACAACGTGCCTCAGCTCTATACTATATGGGCTGGACTGACAAACGGGTTGCGAAGGTCTTACTACTGGACTGTCATGTGGCCTGATCATGCGGCGCTGACATCCAACGCGGCCCAATAATACTACGAAAACGGAGCTGTCTACTACTTCGGCAGGTAGCCTATGGGTAATGAAATGGGGAAAAGCGCGTGGGGTGCGGCTGTGTGAGTATGCGGCAACGCGCCCGGTACAGGTCCGCCGATGAAGCTCAATCGCACAAGTGGGTAAGCAACCCCAGTCTGTTCCCGAGGCTGAGGTAAAAGGAGCTGCAATCCTGTCGGCAACCTTGTAAAGGATCGATATTGCTCCTGCCTTTTGCCGAGAAGATAGTTTTAAGCTACCTTTCGCCCTTCTGGTGAGAGCCTGGTTACTGACACGGATAGCGCCACGTTTCTGGACAGCTTTCACCAAACCCTCATCTGCAAGTAAAATCCTAAATGAATTTTAGGTAAGCGATGTAGAAGAAATTCATACGCTTCTTCGGCATGTTACAAAGCTGCCTTGACGGAAGGTCATTTAACGTTTGCAACGCAACACGTCGGTTGTTGTTCGGCCCGCTGGTGCAGATATGCATTATTGCTCCGCCCAGCATCGATCGCTACCTTGCAGCCACAATCCTCCAATCCGAGTTCGGCCCAAGGTGATCACCTGTCTCCCATTCTTCCTTACACGGCCATCCCGGCCGTCATCACCGCTTGCCCCCCTTTTTCTTCCGCAAGTGCGGATTCATGCCCCCCTGCCCGCCGCTACGCAGATCCGCCTCCTGGCGCTGCAGCTCCGAGTAGAAACGCCGCTCGCTCTCGAGGCGCTCTGCGTCCACTCGGGCGGTTTCCCGGTCTCGCTCCTCCGCCATGAACACCGCATCACGACGAAGCTCACGGATGGCACCTGAAAAGACGGGGAAGGAAAGGCGAAGGAAGCAGCACATGAAAACATCGCCCAGGACTGGTATTTGCTTACGATGACAGGCAAGCATTCCGGAACAAGGATGGACTGCCTCTGTGCTGCCCTGCAAGGTTAGTTAATTTTACTTCAACGACACGATCTCGTCCAACACCCAACGTATTCACCCGCCGATTTACAACAGCCACTACCCGGTAACCCACCGCGTCGCTCCTTGACCAGCGCCCGTTTAAGCCGCCTGGCCTCGACCCGCTGGCGGTCGGGGTCGTAGTCGCGACCTGCGACAAATCCGTCCTCGAAACGCGGGTTGAACTCGCGGACCGCAGCAGCTGGAACCACGCCCGCGGCAGCGGCGGCAGCTTGGGCCCTGGCGGTGTGCACCAACGGCCGCCGAGATGCCACGCAGGACACCGTGGCGTCAGACAGCTGCTTCAGCACGGATGCCCTGCGGTTATCGTAAGCGATAAGAAAAGCCGTGTTGCAGATTAATGTAGAGGAATGGGAATTCCATACTCCGGGTGCACAGCGTCCCCTGATCGACGATTCTGTTCATTAATTCATTCATGCTGTCAGAGAGTTACTATCAGAAAACACTCAGGGCTGCCCTGGCAAAGCCAGGACGCTAGTGTTGTCAGCGAATCTCTCTACGCCGTACAGCGCTGATGTGCACCCCATATGAAACTCAGCCGCCACGTTACAAGGCGTGCCGAGGGATTAACGGAGGTGCATGTGTGCTAGGACAGAGGATGAGTTTCCTAGCGTACTGTCAGGCAGGATGAAATCAATGAATTAAGGGACGAAAGGACAGCACACTGACGAGCAACAGGACCCCGGCAGCAACCAGGGAAGGCTGAGAGGTAACAAGATCGCGTGCGAGTCCAAGATTGAAGGCATCATGCGCGGCGGCCAAGGCCAATATATCCGGTCAGGAATATCGTGTAGAAAATACATCAAGCCGTGGAACCGTCATCTGCATGACCGTATACCGAGTCTACACTCCCTATCCCGCGCCAACTCCATCCCTCGTGCACCTGCCCAATCCGCGTGCTTGCATACCTACCTCAGAGCTCGAAGCTCCTCCGGTAGCGCTCGGTCTATTCGCTGGAGCTCCAAAACCACAGACTTCAACGGTGCAAAGAGCTGCTCAAAGCACACCAACCCTGTTTCCGATGCCAGCATCGCCACACGCCTCACGCTGTGCAGCGCAACGCGGAGCAAACCCAGCTTGAAGGCATCGCTGCCGACACGTGGGTGCCTGGCAGACATGCCAAGCACGCCGTAGAATTCCAACGGGGGAGGTGAATCTGCCGCCGGCTTTGTGCCCCACAGTGATAACAGCCCAGGAGCAAACCGCACAAACGTGTCTGGATCCTGCTGCTGGATAGGTTCGACGCCGCGGTCATCGCCTTTCCGCTTCTTGGCCGAGGGCGATGCCGAAGCATGCCGGGTCTGCGCTGATGCCCCTGATGACCGCTGCTGTTCTAACCCTAAGGGCTGGAACGCCGCCAAACAGTCGCGAAGGAAGACGAGCACCTCCGGCGTGGTTCTGTGTGCGGGTGCAGCCATGTGGGTCATCAGGCCACACAGACACAGCCCCACGGCCGCCTCGTGGGCGTTACTGACCACACATTGATTCAGGTACTTGCCTGCGACCAGATGCGAGTATTGCGGCCAGACGTTTAGGGTCAGGTAAGAGACATAAGGCAGGATTGGAGTCAGAAGTCGCGGCGAGGGTGTCAGGAAAATGTCGAGAACACAACGTCAAGCACTGTGCATGCAAGCGTGGGAGCATATGCTGTGGTGGTGCCGACGTGGCGCCAAAGCTGTGCGTGCCCCTCGATACATCTCCCCGGTCAGCAGCTATCCCGTGCAGGACTCATTCGGAAGCTACAAAATGGCGAAAGACAGGCAATGGGTATGGCCTGTGCCATTATACAGCTGATCTGCAGATGCGTACGCAGCGCTAAAGGAGGTCGGGCACAGCATCAGTGAAAACAACAGCGATGTGAATATCTCTCGTCCAGTCAGGAATCTCGTGTAGAAAAGCATCAAGGCCTCGTCAAGGAGGCTCAATAGGAAGGCAACAGAACGTTTGTCTGTTCATCACCCCGGATCGGTCTAGTCTCATGCAAGTCCCCTTCATCTCTCCCATCAAAGAACCCGCCCACTTCTCCCTCCGCACAAGCGACGCCAGGTCGGCCTCGCTTAAGAGCTCAAGCTCATGCAACATCACAAAAACTCATGCCCCATCAGTTGGGCCCAGCTTACCAACCAATAGAGCTGCAGGTGTAAGTACCGGATGCCGCCGATCACTTGTCGGGAATAGCATCGTAAACAGCTTCAGCTGCAACACCACACGTGCAGACGGCCACGGCGAAGCCGCCTCAGCAGCTGCTACCGCCGCCGCCGCAGCAGCAGTACCGGCGGCTTCGCGCGCCACCGCGCCGCCGAGTGCCGCCAGGGCTGCAGTCAGCTGGTCCGCCATGCGGCCGAGGCGCGCACGGGCAACCGTGGCGGCGTAGTACGGCACCTCTGGCGCCAGCTCCAGGAGAACGCGGGTCAAGACATCCAGAGAGGAGACAGGCAAGGGCGACTTGCCCGCCTCAATTGCGAAGTGCTGTACGAGAATGCCGTAAAATTCCTGAAAGTGACAGCGGAGGTTGCGAGGAGGATTAGAAGGGCAATTAGATTAGCGCAGGGCGTGCCGGCCCAGTTGGATAGCCTAGGGTAGGGATCCCTTGCGCGTTTGTAATCTGAACGAAAGATACAAAACATCTACCTTCTCACACATGAGTAAGCTGCTGGGGCAGGTTGTAAAACGACTTGTGTGAAAAAAGGCGACTTTATGCGCATTGGCGTTTGCAACAAGCCCCCATTTAAAACGTCCGTGTCGGTCAGGAATCTCGTGTAGAAAAACACATCAAGGCCTCGTCAAGGAGGCTCAATAGGAAGGCAACAGAACGGTTGTCTGTTCATCACTCCAACACGGAGCCCCAAATGCCAAAAGTAGATCCAACATTGGATGTTCAGACATACATGATGGACCATGTGCCGCAAGTTTTTAAAGTCGGCTATAAGGAATATCTTCTGCAAAATGTTTGCACACCATCTCCACGTCCCCAGCTAGCCCAATTATTCCAGGGCCTCTCTGGCAGAGAAGTCAACGAAAGAGGTAACCCTTCATTATAAGTTCGGAATCCGTGAAAGCATTGCGGCCATGCTCACAACTACATCAAGTGCAAGATTGAAGGTACCATGCGCGCGGGGTACGGCCAATATTTCCGGTCAGGAATCTCGTGTAGAAAAAACATCAAGGCCTCGTGGAAGAGGCTCAATAGGAAGGCAACAGAACGTTTGTCTGTTCATCACCCCGGAAATGACATGCTGCACTGTTCGAAAAGTGAGAGGACCACCACCGAGAGGGCCCTTGCAGGCAGACATATACCAAGTACGTGTGGATGCGCATGGTCAGCGTGAAAGGGTTTGGATGCCGCACAGCAAAATCATAATTTGGCACCACTAGGGATTCGATTGACCGACGGTCGGGCACCGACCGCCCCCATCCGCTGCGCGGCTCCCAAATGTCGGCTCAACCCACCTGCATCTTTCGTTTGTTATCCGTAGCCAGAGCCACCGCATTGAAAGTCCGGATACGGCTGATTGCAGTATGAAGATCCTCAGCTGGGCGGCCATTCACCAGCGCCGCAAACTCATTGTACGTAGATGGCAACGGTATGGTGTACGGCAGGTCAAGAGGCCCATCTAAGGATTTGGACGTTGTCGTTGCGACAGCGGTAGACTTGGAGACCTTTTTTGCTGATGTGTTTGGTTGGGCGTTGTCGGTAGAGCGGGCCTTGGTCTTCTTGGCTTCGCCGGTGCCGTCGTCTCCCGGGCGCGAGGTGGAGGCCGGATGGGCGGGGTTGCGTCGCTGCATCAGCTGCTCTGTTCGCATTTCATGGAGGGTAGAGAGGAGGTCAATGCGGCGCCGAAACGGATCGTAGTGGAAAAGTAAATCGCAAAGTCCTGTGTTGAGGGGCCCTGATGCAGCGGTGCTGGGTGGTGGTTAAATAGGCCCCAAGGCCCCTAACACCAACGACAGCAAAAGAGCTCAAATTACGGCGGCGAAAGAGGACAAGGCAATAATCCACCCATTAGTGCTCGTCAGTCAAAAGATGTCACACGATCCGTTTCGGACGTAAATGGCGTAGAGGGTACATGAAGCCGCCAATTAGGGGACACGGCGTTAATTGAAGTCTTGTGGTGAAACGTTGTAAGACGCGTCAACATCCAACAAGTACCGCACCTTCAATAGCGTCGTCGTCCTCTTCCTCATCTGCGCTCTCGTCCTCCTCGCCTTCCACTTCAGAGCTCCCTGACTCGGTACCGCCATCAGCCTCTTCACTCTCGTCCTCCTCCCCTTCTTCATCCTCCTCCCCTTCCTCACTCTCGCTGTCTTCGCCTTCGTCCTCCTCCTCATCACCTTCAAGGTAGGGATTCTTGGCTGCCTCTACGCCGTACTTCTTCGCCAGGGCAGCCGCCGCGGCACGGAAACTTTCCTGCATACCCAGAGTTGCGAAACAGACGAGCGAATGAGGAGCCATGCCATCTGTTCACAGATTCATATATTCCCGCGCCGCCAGCTCGCTCCCAGTAAGAACATACAACCAGACATACAGAAAAACCCGCACCTGCAGTGGATGGTTCCCCGCAGCCGCCATCATGCGCCGCTTCTCCAGCTCCGAAACTGCCTTGGGATTTTTAACCTTGTTAATATCTTCCTCATCCACATCCTCGTCCTCCTCTCCGTCATCTTCCGAGTCGTAATCGTCCCCAAGTGCGTCACCTGTGGCCTCGTCCCATCCACGCCCATGGCCGAGACGCATAGGGCAGTGCGGGGGTTGCATTAGTTGCATTGTAATAGGGCAAGACGAAGCAGCTGAAACACGTTAAGATACGTGCAACAACGCGGTCGTTATGCAGCAAAGCAATCAATCAAAAAGTCAGGTCACGAACATATAGACGCACACAAACTAGCAACACAGGTTTCAACTAGCAACCATGGAATACCTTCTCACGATCCGGAACCCCCATACCACAGCCCGCCTCCCTCCCTCCCATACGCACGGACAACCCCCGCGGACCCCATGCCCCATGAGCTCACCCGATGGCAGCTCTCGACGCCGCTTGCGCCGCCCACCCTCATCTTCTTCACCGGCTTCCTCTTCATCCTCGCTGCCATCCTCATCATCATCTTCGCCCCGCATGCGCTTGAGCCTCTCCTTCTCCAACTTCTCCAGCCGCTGTCGCTCCTTTTCGAGGAGCTCCTCGGGGGAGAGGGTGCGCTCCCCAGCAGCTCCCTTGGACTCGAACGCCAGCTCACGAGCCGCCACGTCGTAGGCAGCGTCCTCCGGGTTATCAGCCTTCACCTTGATGCCTCTGAAGTGATGGTCCCCGGGTTGGGATGGGGCATAGGGAGGCGAGTTTAGTCCAGTGAAGAGGAAAAGGAAACAAACACCCAGGCAGCCAGCATGCGAGTGGTGGCTTTTCCCAGCGCCACGCGACGTGATGCATGGAAGCTTAAGAGGCTACCACGTTAACTTTGCAAAAAGCTCTGGGACCATGGCTATTTATTCAATAGTCCCTTCACTTGAACGAATCATTCAAGCCACGGACTACTTTATTGACCCACTCAGCCAAATAATAAATCTTCACTCACTCGCTTCACTCACTTGTTCTCCCCGGGCGCCTTGATAAGACGGGTGAGTGCCGCCGAGCGCACCAGCTCCCGAAACTCCTCATTGACAGCATCAAGGGCGGCCTCGTCCTCCTCTCGCTGCTTGGCCTTCAGAGCCCGATACATGCGGCTCTTGGCGATAATTTCCTCCATAATCTGGAGGCAAAATGCGAGGGAATGCACGGGCCCATTAGGCTGGGATTAGGGAAAATCAACTCAGCAGCACCATGTCCTCCTCAGTGAGCAAGGGCAGCTCAGCCCGAGTTCAATAACGAGCGTGAGGTGCATCATCGCTAAAAGGGATCAGGCAATACAGTTCCGCAGAGCTCATTTCCCAAAAGAACTTAAGGGTGTCCCAATCTGACGGGACCAAAAAGCCCTCCCAAACCGACCTGCTTACGTGTCTTGGGCTTGCCGTCTGACCCTCGGACCGCATCACCCTCTCGCGCGCCATCGCCGCCCTGCTCCTCGGCAGCTCCACCTCCGAAATGGTATTGCGCCACAAGGTCCTCCACCATTTCCTCGTCAAGGTCATCAAACTCCGGCCGCTGTGCAGACGTCACGGGGACGGGCGGAAAGTACGACACATACGGCAAGTGCGAGAAATTAGGCATTGAGACCGGTTGCGGGTGAAATCATGATGTGGGTCACACGGGGGAGGGAAGGAGTTCCTTGCATGATGCATGCATGAGACACTGCAACGTGTAACACTTACAGGACAAGCAAAAAAACATAAAGCGTCACCACCATTCGGCAAAGAACCCTGTCGTATGTCCAGCAACGACAGCAGTTGCAATGCAAACCCTTTCCAGAAGCCAGCTGATATTGGTTAATGCAGAAATGACGACATGACTTAATGTTTAATGATCTTGCTCTCGTATGCTCAACCGGACATCACGACTGCAATAGCAAGGCCTTATATGCCGTACGTCAGCGAAATGCCGTACCTACATCCATTAGGTCTTTGATGTCATCCGCGAGGGACCGACCCAGATGGGTGAGACCCTCTCCGTCCCCACCCTCTCCGCCATCAGCGTCGCTCAAGGTGAACTTGGCACCGCCTGCAGCAACCAACAATCGGCAACATACACAGCAGCCCACATGCGTTACATGTTGTCAGTGTATCAACCTTCCTCACATGAACAGCCCCTACGGATCTCCCAGAGGCGCGAAGCCCTGCGTATTCAACCCAAACGATTTCTTTGTAGCACAAGTTCATAAACTGTGTTCTGTTCGCAGGGGCATGTTAGACAAATGCTTTCAGCCCGCCTTCTTTTGCTGTGCGACGCATGCTACGCACGGCATAGACTACCGGTATCCTCCTTCCAAAAGAGGTTGCATGGCTATAACTCACGTTTCTTCTTTTTGCGCTCCTCCTGGATGCGCTGCGCTTGCAGCCTTGCGATGCCTTTATCAGTCTCTGTAAGCTCGGGATCAGTCTCTGGAAGGATCCAAAGGTTGCAGGGGGTTCACTTTAGAAGGTGGTATCATGTGCACACATGGTGAAACAAAATGCATGGGTAAAATTCGGGTGCAATCAAACGGAAAAAAGGGAGGGGAAAACCCAACCTTACGGAGAGGTTCTACAGAGCTATGGTGGCGGTTGCCAACTTAACGAGCTCTAGTACCGAAATCCCTGGTGATGTCTGGTGATGATATAGCTCACCGCCAAAGCGTCGATCGATGAACGTGTTAGCCTTCCGAAGCTGTCGGTACTCTACCAGCAGGGTCTTTTTCCTCTGTCACGAGACGAGCATGCGCATGAGACGACCTGCCACCTTAGCAAGTAGTAACAGTACCTGCTTAATATGCAGGTTTAGCCGAAACCCACTCGATTGACGGCTTCTTGCCGGGCCTGGATAACGTTCTGCTTCTTGCCGCTGACCCTCCTGCCGATAGTGTCGAAATGCCCTTTAGAGCCTTTTAGCTCAAAGGGATTAGGCTTTTTCGGCTTTGCTTTCATTTGGGCCGCCAGAACCGCCGTCTTGGCTTTTGCGGCGGCGGCCTTAGGCTTGGCCTTAGCCATCGTGAGATATCTTAAGTAAGTCCCAAAAACCACCCATTGAATACATGAAATGATCAAGATTGACAATAAATATGCTTTTTCCGATTGAAATGCTCGTCCAAATACGGCGGTACGCTCGGCGGGAGGCATCCAGCAGGCCTCCGTTGCGTCCTAGCTAGCTTTCCAGTAACATCGTCTCAAACAAATGCGCTTCCATATTCGACAGGCTTTTGCGAACATGTAAACGTCTGCAGGGGGTTTTCGGTTGGTCTCTGGTTCTCAACAGGTTAATGGCCCTTTCATTACGACCATACACAAATAATATACGGACGGAACTGAACAAAGCACTTTGCATTCAATCCTTTGCATGCCAAAATGTAGAGCGGCACGACAAACCGGAGGTTGAGTCCCGAGACAACCCGGAGCTCCTTCTACCGCCCGTGACAATTACACGCTCAGAAAAGGAGCGGTGTTTAATTGAGGCATCAATCAATTCCGTTCGTGTCAGCCTGCGGCTTGGGCAGATGGACATGCTTGAGGAGGAGCTCGTGAAGATGTACCTCCGCTTCCTCATGCAGCGAGCTGAGTTGCTGGAGGTGGCACGCCGCGTACCCGTCGAGGGCTATGACGTCTCCTTCCTCATTACTGACCAACACCTCCGTGTGTACGGCAAGCAGCGCCTGTTAGACTTCATGGTGGGTTTTCAATTCCCAGGACTCCATCATCCCCCGTCCTCGCTTGTCCTACACCACTTCAATTACCGCCTCTTTTCATGTCCCTCCGCTGCATGGCCTAGTCCTAGGCTTTCCGTTTGGCCTTCCCAGGAAAAAGGACGGCAGCGCCCTAGAGCTGCACGATTAGCTTGCTGCGCAGAGTATAGCCATTCACGTCACAGGCATTTGCACAAATATTGCCGGGTGCGCTTCCGCAGCCCTCAGTTTCTTCCCCTGAGCTGCGGCCCAGACGACTGCACGCCGTCTCCTCATGCCTTCTCCTCCCTGGGGCTCCCCCCGCCTTGCGGCCAGGTGGCTTTCATCGAGGAAATGGACGTGGAGACCAGCTCCATGAAGCTGGTGGGTACGGAGGAACACAATCCATCCCTTGCAGTGCATGTACTGTTTCATGTCATCCAGCCAGGCCAGATCTACGAAAATGGGCCGGGATGTCTGGCGCCCGCTCGCTCCCACAGCTACACCACACCAAGTAATCATAGGCACAAGGGTTAGCCCAAGCCAACAAATACAGTGCATTCGTGTACCCCCAGCTAACCCCGGCTTGTGGCGCCACATTGGGTACCTCGCCACATTGGGTTACCTCCAGTTTTATGCAACCTGCTGAGCCCAGTCGCCCGAGTTCCCCCTCTCTGCCTGGTCAGTTCTGTTTCTTGTACACTCTTTCCTTGGGAGCAGCTTCACTCGTTGTTCGTGGTTCGTCTTCCCCTCTACCTCAGGCGGTCAACTCTAGGGGCCGTGCTGTGGCGACCGAGGCGCTGCGCTCGCTGGCTTTTTAATACGCCAGCACTGCCTATGAGTCGCGTGGGAACAAGTTTGTTCATCCCCTAACGGGGAACCAAAGGGGAACCCCTTGTCCCCCTTAATTTCTCCGTAAAATACCTATTTTAATATTTTTTGTCTATGTCTGTCTGTCTGTGTCAGCGCCGTTAGCCGTTTTGTTAGCAGGGGGCAGGTGCAAGTGGGCCATAGTAACAGCTGGGGGGGGATGCTGAAGACGCAGAGGAATGAAGTGGGTGAAGCGAACGGCCCCACTTGCGAGCCGTATATGTGGGAGTATGAAACCAGGCGGTAAGAGGGTTGATGCGTGCGAGGCCCGACTGTTAGAAGGTTGTGGATGAGTAGGAGGGATCTGCGGATGGTGAAATTGTTGAGTTACAGAGTCTTGCTTTGAGGGAAACATCTGTTCTTGATTAAGTTACGGCTGCACAAATAAGCAGTGCCAATGGAATTGAGGCTTGTAATGCCTGTTTGACAAAACCTGCTTGCCGCATCCTGGGAAATTTCGATAAGTCCACGCGGCCTGAGATTTTATCCTCGCAAGGAACCAGCTTCTGAACGGTACTGCATGGCGATACTGCATAAGAAAGAGTCAAAGAGTCAAAGAAAGATGTTCAACTCGACTTGTCAACTTGCCTCCTCATAGATTTTTGCCGCGCTTCGTCACAGATTGTCGTACCATGCAGGCGAAGCAAGATTCTGTATCCCTATGCAGCAAGCTAAGAGGGTTCCTTCTCCCTAGCAGAAAGTATAGTAGATTGGAAACCTCTCTCCTCGCAAATTGTTTCAGCGATTGTCAGTCCTAGAAGGGCCTCGCACGAAGCACCGGTACACCACATGTAAGCTTCTGCAAGCTAACAAGAAGGTGCATGTCCCATTCAATCCCACCCGCGGCCTGTTCGGGTGATCGGGCATGATAGTCAAAACTTATCAGGAATGAGCTAAGTGTCGGCATTGCACCGGATGCACGTACGCCAAACAACCGTCGGAAACACCAGATTGTCCAGCAGCCCCTGCAGCGACGAACACCCAAATCCCCATGGCCTCACAACTTACGGCATACGGTCCAATCCACTACGCAACTCCAGGTAGATGCCGTTGCGCAGATTTACCGGGCCCATATTCTTCAAGACCCAAGTAAGGTTTTGGAATTTGCTATTTGCCTGTTCCCACCGATGCCTGCCGCCTTGACAGACTGGCAGTGGTGGCAATTTACAGGGGAAATCTTTCAGGCTTCACATGAGCACATCTAAGGGCCACAGAGACCGTAGCAGCTGCCTGGCTGTATCGAAATGCAGGGAACCCATCCAACACCCGCAACGGACGGAGCACTTGTGTCGGGGCTAAGATGGCGGTGGAGGATTGAATCCTTACGAAGCGATGACGCGGCCGTGTGCATTCTGTCTGTCGCGCTAATAGGCAGCAGCAGGCGGCAAGGGAAGCACGCTGTTTCTTTCGCACGAACTTTTATTACCCCTTTATTGAACCTAAAAGCAAGGCGTAAGTAAGGCCAGTCCAGGCGAAGGGGTCGCGGCAAATCGAGCGTGGGGAGACCCCCGAATTAGTCGGGAGCGCGAGATTATGGCTAGCTGCTGAGATGTGGAGTTGAGGTCACAGTTGATGGACCATATTCGCACGCTGGATTGGTGGCGATTGCCGAACCCTCCGTCTCTTCGGGTGTTCGGGTGAATAGATGAGGAGGGGTCCCTGAAGGCTGGATCCGCCGCCTTGGACTTACAGTTCGTATGGCGAAGTACAGTGTGGTAGTGGTGGATGGTGCTATAAGGTGATAAATGATCGTAGAACTGACAATGTGATAAAGCGGCCCAGAAGGCTCCCACTCTGTAACATTACAAAAAAAATCGAGCATATTATAGCGTCAGACTTTCACGTTCGGTAGACCTGAGGATGCCTTCATAAGCAAGGCATACCACCAACATCAAAACACAAGACGCAAGAAGGAATGAAGACCAATCATTCTTGTTCTGCGTTGTCAGCCATGCATAAATAATGGTTAGGAAGGCACGAGGATGTTATCTGAGAGGGGCTGTCGGGTACTGCGTGGTGGTGGGTGCTTTGGGAACTTCGTTGCAATCGGTTCATGGGCCTGCGGCTTAGCCCGTGCCAGGAAAGGTGACATGCGAAGAGGACTAGCACAATCAAGCTATAAGACGTGGGTTCCAAGATGTGACAACGGCGTGCGCACCGTGAACAGATTGAACAAGATGTCTTGAATTTGTGTACAACGGCAGGGCAGAGCATTCGCCCCCCTCGTCGCACCTATTATGCAATCCATCTGTCAACTCAACGAAGCTGAAGGATAACATGGTTTTGAGGCAAGGCAAGGGATCTGTGTTTATGTCGACAGCCCGCTTGGATGGTCTGCAAATAGCTTACTGAAAACTGGAAACTGTCAATACACGGTGCAAGACGAAGATCTTGGATTGTAGGCACTGAAACTTAAGGAGTGCTGGTTACCGTGGGTTTCAGAAGATCATGCAGTGCATCAGTTCCATTTCCACCCGTCACTTATCCCCTTAACGACTATGGTCAAAGGACCGGCTAACCAGGCAAAGTCGTGAGCAAAGCGCATGGATGCCAGGCGACAGCCCTGATACCCACTAGCGGAGCTCGTTACAGAGAGTAAGTTGGCACACAAAGCCACTTTACTAGGTTGATATGACATGTGAAAACGTTGAATGACGCTAGGAGCCAAGGGCTCACGCAGAAGCACCATTACTACCGTTTCAGTATAATTAGAGCATAATGCCAATATCAACGATCTACTTTACTCTCTTTATTACTCGCATTTATACTTGCAACATGAAGCATTATAAAGGATTGGCAAAAGACGAGCACTTTGTGAAAGGGGACGCTCCAGGGTGGTGAGTCTTATCCAGGGCCGGTCATCCCTCTTTTCACAAGCAGACTCGTTGCCTTTCCCCGTGCGCTTACACTCTATTCCCTCGCTAGGAGAAGATGGCCGCCACCATGCTCGCCTCTAAGCAGGGCGCCTTCATGGGCCGCTCGACTTTCGCCCCGGCCCAGCAGCAGGGAGTTGCACGCCGCGGCTCTCTCCAGGTGACTCTATCAGCCAGCACCTATGATTTACATTGACAACAAGGTAGCTCAGCGCACTGAGCCGATGATTGTGCTTTGTCTATAGGTGACCGCTGGCCTCAAGGAGGTCCGCGATCGCATTGCGTCGGTGAAGAACACCAACAAGATCACCGATGCGATGAAGCTGGTCGCGGCTGCTAAGGTCCGCCGTGCTCAGGAGGCAGTGGTGAACGGCCGCCCTTTCTCTGAGAACCTGGTGAAGGTGCGACAGGACCGGTCGGCGCAATGAACTGGCTTGCACGGTCATGTTGTGACGACAAGGGAAACTGATGATGCTTGATAAGTCACCTATCTATATAGGATGGTAGCGTTTGTCACCTGTGCCCGTCCTACATCAACGCAGGTCCTTTACGGTGTGAACCAGCGCATCCGCCAGGAGGACGTGGACTCGCCGCTGTGCGCTGTCCGCCCAGTGAAGAGCGTTATGCTTGTCGTTCTGTCTGGTGACCGTGGTCTCTGCGGCGGCTACAACAACTTCATTATTAAGAAGGTATTATAGGCATCCAGTAGCACGAGCTTGGGATGTACTGTCTTGCTGGGCAATGAATTTAGAATGGGCTTGTATAAAGGATCTTCAGGAAATTCGGGCTGGGTAGTGTGGGTTCAAGGTGCGTGTATAGTAGTGCTACCCTGTATTTCGGATGCGTAAATCTATGCCACGCGACAACCTAAACTTCTTATTACGCATGTTCTTCGCAGACTGAGCAGCGCATTCGTGAGCTGACCGCCCTTGGCGTGAAGGTCAACCTCGTGTGCGTTGGCCGCAAGGGTGCTCAGTACTTCACCAAGCGGAAGCAGTACAACGTCACCAGTGAGTGCAGTTCTGTTATGTGTGTGCTGGAAACTGTCCATGGATTCTGGTACTTGTTGGGGGAATGGTTAAAAGGGTAGATATCTGAAAATCCAACCTGGGGATTCTTTAGGTGGGTTCGGTTCCACAATGAAGACCTAGCGTGTAGGGGAGCCATCGCCTCCAGAAGTTGGGACCATGGGTTCAATAGCTTCGAACACGTGTGCACTCGTTATCAGGTTTTGAAGATCTGTGGCGACGCATGTAAATCCTCGTGGCCCGGGCTCCTGTCATTCTGGAATCTGAGGGATTTGATTTTCTTTTTATTGACCTAACAATCGAGGGTTGGGCACAGGCAAGGTGTCGGCCGAGTATCAGATGAGTGTCTGTTACGGCGATGATAATTACTAGGGCTTCGAACTCTTGATCCTGGACGGTTAAAATGCGATGGAGTAATGCTTCGGCAGCACTGACTATCTTTCCATTCCCGTATTGCAGAGACCTTCTCGCTGGGCGCGACCCCCTCGACCAAGGACGCTCAGGGCATCGCCGACGAGATCTTCGCTTCGTTCATTGCCCAGGAGTCGGACAAGGTGGAGCTGGTTTACACCAAGTTCATTTCGCTCATCACCTCGAACCCAGCCATCCAGACTCTGCTGCCCATGACCCCCATGGGCGAGCTCTGCGATGTGGACGGCAAGTGCGTGGACGCCGCTGACGACGAGATCTTCAAGCTGACCACTAAGGGTGGCGAGTTCGCTGTCGAGCGCGAGAAGACCACCATCGCTACTGAGGCCCTGGACCCTAGCCTGATTTTCGAGCAGGAGCCGGCTCAGATCCTGGACGCGCTGCTGCCGCTCTACATGAACAGCTGCCTGCTGCGCTCCCTACAGGAGGCCCTGGCTTCTGAGCTGGCGGCCCGCATGAACGCTATGAACAACGCGTCGGACAACGCTAAGGAGCTGCGCAAGGCGCTTACGGTCCAGTACAACAAGCAGCGCCAGGCGAAGATTACCCAGGAGCTGTCTGAGATCGTGGGTGGTGCTGCTGCCACCTCGGGCTAAGCGGATGGGCGCAAGGGCGGTGCAGTAGAGCCGCTACGGGGATATATGGACGCTGTCGGGAAGCCGCTACGCAGCACCTCTTTTTGTTAGCGTGCGCGTCGGCTGAATGATGTTAGTGAGTGGCGCCTATTTTGCCCAAGCCTTTCGTTTGTTTTTGCTGTATCAGCAGGCACATGGTGGTGAAGAAGGGGGAAGAAGATTTTTTGAATGTGCAAGGCGGTAGCTTCTGTTGTACGGGATGTGACTTATTCGAGAAGAAGAGACTCTTGATTGTGAGCGGCCTGATTGACAGGTGGGCGACAGCTGCTGTTGAAATGTTTCCTACGGTTCTGCCCTTTTTGCTGATTCTGGGTGAGGCCGTTGGAAGGATTTTCTCAACGAGGCTGTAAGGGCATGTTGCAGGGTAGGGTAGTGCAACTGGGCGGAGTTTTGCTGACGGACTTCCGTGCTGTTGCCTTTAACGACAAATGCAAACGCTATCGCTTAAATGACGGTAGTTGCCATCGGCGCGTAAGCGCATGGAACGTCCTCCAAAGGCATGCTGTAAAGGCATGCGATTCGCTGTCTCCAGTCTACGCGGTCATCTTCTGGCAACGGCTTGCTATGCAACGTATAGTTGACCAACAGAGCAGGAGGCAAATTGTTTAGTGATGGACGGGGCCTAGACAGAATACACAGGTGGGATCAAGCTGACTTTAGCACGCTACCTCCATACAGCAATACGAATTTGTTGTTTGCCTGGTACCAAGGCTGCTCAACCGTGAGTGTGAGCGTCCGTACTTCACACCCTGTGCATACGTTAAAGCTAAAGGCATTGTGAACACACCGCCGAAGGGTTTTTGCGAAAGCGCAGAGGATCATAGAGGAAGGTAGGAAAGAAGTGGTGAAATTTCAAACTGTTCCAGTGGCCACATACGGGGTCAGCCGGAATGATGTATGGTTACAGAAACTGTTACGTTCGTCCTTATTCGTACGCCAGTAGGACGTGTTAGGTCTCGGGCATTAGCTGGCTGATGCGTCACTAGCCTGGCCAGCGGGTGGCCACTGGCCAGGGGGTGGGTTAGCGCATCTTTGTGTTTGGTTGCGCGTTTTGTGCGCTGCTTTTCCTCGACGTGTTTTGCTCTGCAGCGTTTAAGTGCTGTCGTAAACTAACTTTGACTTCTTTTTGCTCTTCGATGCAATTAAGTGCCATAGACCTCTTCATCCTGTAGCCCTGATGGCGAAGTCAATTAGTCTTCTAGTAACAATTTCTTGATAAGGGGAAACGACGCTGGAAAGCACTTTGGCTAGAACAAAGGTACCTGAAATACCGTAGAAGCTCAGTGAAACCACCAAAAGCTTAGTATGAGGGAGTAAACACAGGGACTTGAATCAATCAGATGTTAACTTTACACGGCGAGCACCTCCAGACACGCCGCGCCTCGGTGAGCACATACACAGCTCGCGGCCCCCACGCCAACCTCGCAAAACCGTATCAACCGCTGAAGCACCACTGATGCCTCTCACAGCATAGAATCCAAAAACTGCTGTGATACGCAGCGCTTCGCTTGAAACGCGTGAAAAGTCGCGGCAACGCATGGCTAACTACACCCTGTCCATGCACAAACTAGACTGCAAATCCATCCATTCGACTCTGAACCATCTATTTCGGCGCCGCGCTTTTCTGCAGCGTCCCCTGTGCCAGGGCAGCGCGCTTCTCAATGCGCCGAGCCTCCCTGCGGTCGGTAATGCCGTCCGCAATCTGACGCTGGCGCAACAAAGTCAGGCACTGAGCAATCTGACGACGGAGGTGCTTGTTGACATGAGCCTTGGGAATCTTTGCAGGGTCGCGCTGTGGCATGGCCTCGCCAGCCTTCAATTCCGTCAAGCCTTGAGAGCGCTGCACCCACTTAACGCTGGCCAGCTCACGCTTCAAAAGGCTAGCCTGCTCCACAAGCTCCTGGTTGGACAAGCCGCTGAAGTCAGAGAGCTTGGTTGGCTTCGCCTGGACAACCACAGCCACGCGCTGTGGAGTCGGCGTAAGGGTCGAGCGGGCCGGCCGCACAGCAGTGAAAGCACGAGCGACCTGCATGGCTAGTTGCGGCCTAAGGTCAGACGGGCAAAATCCAAGGTAGCCGTCTGCAGCCTTGGGGTGTGAAGCTTTGTCTGCGGCTGCGACCAAAGCCTAGAATGTCTTTACTGCCCGCCAACTAGTTAACTTCTATGTAGAGCAAAATAACGAAAATTCCCTATGCTTTGTGTCCTTGTGATTTACGGCGGCCTTTCGTACGGCGCCTTGAAAGGTAATCACGCTCGCTCTTACACATGTGCAATAATGTCGGTAAATAGTGCAGGGTCTAATAAGTGCTAGCGTCTACTGGGGTTGTCGTTTTGTTCCGTAGGACTCGGCCCCTTTATTTTACTCGAGAAAACACCTTCAAAAGCCTTCATATTCCGATTCCTCTTCCGAGCTTCTATAAATCCTTTAGGAAGTGCATCAACACACCGCCTAGCTCTCAGCGATCGCGTACCCACCGGCACCCTGCTTCAAGCAGGGCGCCGGGTTGATTATCCAATGGCACCACGCTCAGATGATGATGATGGTGACAGGCGCGGCGATGGTAATGACCGCTACGACCCTGACGCTCGCCGGTACGATGGTGACCGTGAACGCAGCAACCGTGACTACGGCCGTCAACGGCACCGGCCTGGCGACGACCGGTACGATAGTGACCGGTACGACGGCGACCGCTATGACCGCGGTCGGTACCGTCCTCATGACGACAGCCGCTACCGGGACAGAGAACGCGACCGCGACCGCAAAGACCGGGGGGTGGAACGGGGCTACGGTCGCGACCGCGACCGCGACGGGCAGCGCGATCACGATCGTGAACGGACACGCGAGTCGGAGCGGGAGCGGGAGAGGGAGCGGGAGCGCGGTCGGGAGCGCGAGCCGGAGGGGCATGGCCCAGGGGACAGCCCACGCAAGAGGTGTGCCCTTGAGTTCGTTCAGATTCGGTTGTTCAGGGCATGCACGTATTGCCTCCAATCTCTATACCTAGATGCACTCGCACATCTACGTGCAGCGTCTGGCGTGGCTTGAACCCGCTACCTCGGGGCACATGTGTGCTTCGTTTACAACAAAATGCATACCCCATTCGGAAGATTGTGGGGTTAGGAACTAGTTGAACAGGCTATGTGTGGAGGACGTCGGGGGGTTGCGCAAACGGGTTTTTTCGTAACTCATTTGGGAGGTCGCGTGTACCCTGTGCAGGCGCCGGTGGGATGACGACGGCGCAGCACGCGGGCGTGCCGAGGTGGATGCGGACGCTGGCAAGGCTCACAAGGGTGCTGAGACTGTCGCAGGGCCTGCGCCCGCTGCGGCGGATGCGGATGCGGACGCTGGCGACGGAGCGGCGGCTTCGGTCGCCGCCGCACCTGAAGCGCCCACCGCTGCACGCAAGCCTGTGACTCTCGGTGCGTCTCTTGGGGCTGGGGTCGGCACTTGTCCATAATTGATGCAGCAACCTGGAGATGCCAAATGATGAGGGAGTGCTTAAAATCGCTGGCTCCGGGACTTGAACCTGGATCTTGGCCCAGGGACGCCCTAGTCAGGGAATTTGCCATGCACTCGGGCCACATACAACCTCGTTCCCCGTTCCTCGCTCGCCCGCCTGCTAGTTAGGCTCGCCCGGTAGCTGGTAAGTTCGGAATAAGTTAGGAACCTAATCCGGGTCTGTTGGCTCAACCCTCCCACAAATCTGTTCGATTTTTTCCCTTAGGCAAAACCGGTGGCGTGTACATCCCGCCGTTCAAGCTGGCTCGCATGATGGCGGAGCAGGGAGCTCAGGTACGGCAGACCAGATACTAAATAGTAAATATTACCTGTTTTGTGTTATACTACATGGAAGCGAAATGCTGTTATCGTCCTCCTCGTCCCTGTGGCCATTGCTTGGTGTGTTTAGCGCTGGCATAATTTGCAGCCCTGCACTGCAAAATTACCCTCTCCGTCGGGGCCTGAAACAACAAATTTACACATACACACACTCGGTAAGGCAAGCGGTGCTTCCTTTCGACACCAACCCGGACAATGGGGCAGAGAATCAAGCGTACAGGACCTGCTGGGATACATGCACACACACACACACAAGAATACGCCCATCTTCCAGCCCTGTCCTACCCAGGCTCCTCCTCGAGCCTCCTTTCTCCCTTCGCCTCCCTTCGCCTTGTAAACAAGTTCCCCGTGTCGTGCTGCCTCGTTGTTCCACGGCGGCGCCCCATCGCGGTCGGTCCCTCCGCATCCTCATCCTCATCCTCCCTCCTGCGCCGTTCAGGACAAGGCCTCCCCCGAGTACCAGCGCCTTACCTGGGAGGCGCTCAAGAAGAGCCTTAACGGCATCATCAACAAGGTCAACGTGGTCAACATTAAGAACATCTTACCGGAGATCTTCCGGGAGGTGAGGGCCGGCGTCGCGGGCGGAGGAGCGGGTCCCCTTCGTCTCCTCCCGTTGTCTTCCTACCCCCCGTTCAGAAAAATTAGTCCCCGTCTCCACCCCACCCATGTGCACCCCGACGGTGCTGTGTGTCGTGGTGGGGGGAGGTTTGTCGTAATTGACTTTTTTTCCATTTTGCCCTTGTTTTCCTACGAGCCCTACATCTCACACGGCCATCTGAATTGCCTGCTCCCTCCCCTCCCCTCCTGCTTCCCCCCTCCCTCCCCTCGTCTCATGTTGGTGTCCCGCACTCTCGGGGCATCTCCACTCGGCTGCTGTTCCGACAACGCCGTCCTCGCACAGAACCTGATCCGTGGGCGAGGTCTGTTTTGCCGTTCCCTGATGAAGAGCCAGGCCGCGTCCCCCAGCTTCACCCCCGTGTACTCCGCTCTGGTGGCGGTCATCAACACCAAGTTTCCCGAGATTGGGGAGCTGCTGCTGTCCAGGCTCATATTGCAGGTAAAATACCTTGCAGTTATATAGACGCTTACGTCTCCACGCGCACATATGTATGTGTGTTTGTTTGTTTGCATGCATGCATGCTTTCTGCCTATTTTTTCATGGCATGCACGTTTTTCTCTCTCTCTCCATTCTCCGTTCTCCTTGACGTCCGGGTCACGTCCGAGTTTGTCCTGTCAGCCCCGTTTAGTCCTGTTCTTCTTGTCCTGTCCCGCCGTCCTGTTTCCTGCCATACGCCGTCCTGCAGTTCAAGCGGTCGTTCAAGCGCAACGATAAGCCCGTGTGCACGGCTGCGTCCAAATTCATCGCGCACCTGGTCAACCAGGTGGGTTGTGGGTTTCAAGGGAGAGAGAGAGAGAGGCGGGTGAAGATGGAGCGATAGCTGTTTTAATTGTGTAGAGGTGGGTTTTCGCCGTGGCGACAGAGGAGACAACAACCTCCTCCTGGCAGCAACCTGTGGACGACGCCAAACATCTCTTTACATCCATCTTACAGCCAAAGTTCGTTCTGTTCTTTGATGGCCATAACCGTTTTCACGCGACCAAAAATATCTTAATTGCATTTTGTCAACCGGGAGCTATAGCCTATCTTTTGTTGTGGCATGTATGTGTGTTGTGGCGTGTGCGTGTGCGGGCCCCCGCTACCCCCCGGCCCCTGCAGGGAGTGGCTCACGAGGTGTTGGCCCTGGAGGTGCTGATCCTGCTGTTGGAGGTGCCCAGTGAGGACAGCGTGGAGATGGCCGTGGACTTTGTGCGGGAGGTGGGGGCGCACCTGCAGGACGTCGCGCCGCAGGGGCTGCACGGGTGGGTGAAGGCATAATGCGGTGGGAGGTGGGAGATTCGGGGGTTGACTCCCAAGCTGGATGCTGGTGGTTGGGGTTTTGCAGGACGAGGACGAGGACGGGGCGGTGCGTGGGAGGTGCGGGTCTGGGCCTGGGTCTGGAAGGCTTCGGGTTTTAAGGGTAATCCATCCTCTCGTCAGTTCAAGCTGGTATACCCGTGAGCTGGTATCCGTTTCTTAGACGTAACTCTGAAACCCTTAGATGTTCCGTCCTTTCCCATAAGTTAACTGTGTTTATTCACGCCATTGTATGTGTCCTGCCTCTTCCTCCGCGCTTCCCACCCTCACCGCCTCATTGGTTCTGTTTGCACCACAACTGTATCGCGTACATCACCATTTGCTGCCTGGATTTGCTGCCGCTCGGCTGTGTCCCGCCTTACAGCGTCTTTGAGCGCTTCCGCGCGATCCTACACGAGGGAGCCATCAGCAAGCGAGTGCAGGTGCGTGAGCGGCAGCGGGAGAGGCGGAAGAAACCTTACACCAAACCGGGAAGAGAGGGGGAAAGGCTCAGGTTGACCTCAGGAGGAACCTCGGAAGCGCCAGGTCACCCGGGTTGTGTGTGTGTATTTATGTATGTGTGTGCCGTGACGATGCTGTGTCCGCGCACAGCGACACGGTACACACGGCTTCAGACACCTAGCCCGCCGCAAGCCAGGAACCAACATGCACCTCCGTAGCCCAGCCCACACATGAAACACCATTTGAATATTGTCCCCTTCCTGCCTACCTCTCCCTTCCCTGTTGCTGTTGTCCTCTTTTCGGCATATGCCGGTACGGTCGGTCGGCTGCTGTCACATTTTGGCGATGGTGTTGGTGATGGTACGGTGTACAGTTCATCATCGAGGGCATGTTTGCTCTGCGCAAGGCGGGGTTTGAGGCTTCCGGCTTCCCCGCCCTCAAGCCGGAACTGGACCTCGTGGAGGCTGAGGACCAGATCACACACGAGCTGGGACTAGACGACCAGTTGCAGGCGCAGGTGAGGAGGCTGCGTGTGTGTAGGGCGGGCGGGTGTAGGTGGAGGAGGCGCGCGGCTGCACCTGCAGGGTACAGGGAGGTTGGTTGTCAGGTATGGGGAGGGGCTGTCGTGGCAACGAGGACGTATACTGTTCCACTCGTGGAAGAACAGTATACATAAACAATACAGAGAGATGATGGCGGCAGGGGTGCGGTCGACGGCAGGTAGGTAGGTAGGTAGGATAGGTAGTTCGGGTCACCCTAGGACAGGACAGGGTGGTTACGAGCCAGCGGCAGATGTAGTTCCGGCAGGGGAGAGCCCATGCGCCCATGTGAGGAGGAGCCTAGCGCTGTCTCGCTTTGCTGTCTCGCAGCAGCAGCAGCGTCGTCGCGGATATGTAACACAGGGTCCTCCACAGTCGACCGGTCCTCAGTCGCACTTGGCCGCCCAGTCGTCGTCGGCGAGTCGTCACAGGCGCTCTTCCCGCGCTTAGTTATTCCCAAGCTTTCTCCCGAGGAATAACGATGGCGTTTTGCTTTGCCCGGTCATCCACCTTTTTTTCGCTTTTGTGTACCTTTTCGGGCGGAATGATTTTTGACCTGACCTTGGTGACTGCATCCTCCCTCCTCCCATGGTGTATTGTCGTTATCCTTCCTGGGGTCTCCTCACGTTCCCCCCGTATGTTTCTGGCGTATCAGTCTATCCTTCTTGGTGTCAGCTTCAATCGTTCATGTGGTTCATGGCCTTCCCCTCCTGCTTCTTTTTGCATCATATGTTCTTTTCCCTCCCCGCCGCCGCCTTTTCCCTCCCCCCGCCCGCCCGCCCTCCCTCCTCGGTGCTGCCAGACCAACCTGGATGTGTTCAGGGTGGACCCCAACTACGAGGAGGAGGAGCGCAAGTATGCGGCCATCGCCAGGGAGGTCCTAGGAGACGAGGAAGACGAGGAGGAGGGAGGCGGCGGCGGCGGCAGCGGGCCGGGCGACGAGCAAGGTGGGTGGCTAGCCGGTACAAAAAGGTAGTAGCTGTGACTGTCATTCTGGACAGAATGGCGGGGACTTTTGAAATTGAACCTGAACAAGCCTTGTCCAGGTCAAAGGAGCGGTTCGTGTGTGTATATGTGCGTATGTATAGCTTGTGGGGAGGTAGGAAAGAAGTGCTGGATCCAGATAAGGTCCGGATGGGTCCAGGAGGTTGGGCTAGGGCGTTGGGGATGGTGGCTGGGAAGACGGCTTGGGGCGGCGGGGTCGGGCGGGGGGGCCTTCATGGTCATGGGTGAACGCCACCAGTGCGGCTTCCTGTTGGGGTCTATGGTGGTAGGGTGCTGCTGCTCCTGTCGCGGCACGTACCCAAAACGTTCCCAGCCCGTTCCCTTTTCCATTATTTCAGGAGTGCGGGGGTTAACAGCGCCACTGCTTTGAGCTACTCTGGCAGAGTTGGTATAGCTTGGCTGTTGGTGCTTTCTCGACAGTCAATTCTTTCTTGACAGTTGAATCTCTTTGCATCATTGTTATCAGCATCAGCATCAGCATCTGATTCCGCGCGTCGTCTGGCATTCCGCAGGTACCGACGGTGACGACGAGGGCGACGATGAAGACGGGCCAGGCAGCGGCGGTGGCGGTGACGGCGGCGGCGGCGGCGGCACCAGTGGCGGCGGCGGCATCCACGACGAAACCGCCACCAACCTGGTCAACCTGCGCCGCACCATCTACCTCACCCTCATGTCGTCCTTTGACTTCGAGGAAGCGGGTCACAAGCTGCTTAAAATCGGCATTCAGCCTGGTCAGGTGCGTGGCTTTGGCCTTGTTGCGCGGATGTGGCACCCCTGGTATGCGGCACGCGGGTACATGTCGGTAGGTGGGGGGAAGAGGTGGCGAAAAATTATATGCGCACCGGAAGGGTAGAATGTGCGCCGGATGACTCAACTGAGCAACAAGATCACAACGACCCGTTCAAGGCCTGAGAACGGGCGCTCCGGCCCCTCCCAATTGTCCTCCTCCGCGCAGGAAATAGAGCTGGTGACCATGATTATCGAGTGCTGCTCCCAGGAGCGGACCTTTAAGCGCTTCTACGGCCTACTTGCCCAGCGCTTCTGCTACCTCAACCGGGCCTATGCAGAGACGTTTGAGGTGGGTGGTATGGGAGGGTGGAAAAGGCTGCGGCGGGTCATACATATGTATACACATATCTACATATATATACACATATATGTAGGTATATATATGTATATGTGTGTGCACATCTCTGCCCTCTTGCCGCCTGAGCTGGCTAGCCACCGGGGGCCTTATGGGTTTCCGGTGGTTCCCCCGCCGTACCCTGCCCTGTACTTGCGGGCAGCCCGCCCTGGTTCCTTCCCGCCATGATGGGTCTCAGCAAAATCCAACCTCACCTGATCCGGACTGCATATTTCACTGGAATTTCGCGTGGACGCGTGTGATTGCCTTTTTTTAATCAAAAATGGCTGATCTGTGCAGAGGAATACGGAAAATGACGACGACGAAGAGCAAGCCAGCCTCAACTAGCCTCATGTGAATTTTTATTTTTACCCCTTGCGGACGTTCCCGCACCCCCCGGGTTCCACCAAACATCCCACTGCCACTCAGGACTGCTTCCGCAAGCAGTACAGCGTGATTCACCGGCTGGAAACCAACAAGCTGCGCAACGTATCGTGTCTGTTCGCGCACCTGCTGGCAACGGATGCCCTGCCCTGGTCGGCCCTGACGGCGGTGCAGCTCACTGAGGAAGATACCACGTCGTCCTCCCGCATCTTCATCAAGTACCTCTTCCAGGTGGGCACGTTGGGGGGTGCGAGTGTGTGTGGGTGTGTGGGTGTGTGGGTGGTGGTAATGCGGTGTTGTGTGTGTGTGTGTGTGCGAGGGGGGAAGAGAGGGGTGGGGATTGCGAATGAGAGGAGTTGTCCTTGTGCGTTGTCCTGGCGGACCCATCCGTGTTGCCCTCCCTTACGCGCGTTTATTTGGGGGGTTTCGCCATTTATAGCTCCGAACTGCCTCCGTCACCCCTTTCTGCCTGCAGGAGCTGTCGAGCACCATGGGCCTCGTTAAGCTCAACCAGCGCCTGAACGACCCCGCCTTCAGCCCCTGGTTCGAGGGCCTCTTCCCGCGCGACTCCCTGCAGCACATGCGCTTCTCCATCAACTTCTTCACCTCCATCGGCCTGGGTGGCGTCACCGACGTAATGCGCGAGCAGTACAAGATCACCGTGGCGGCTCAGGCGGCCCAGCAGCAGCAACAGGTGGCGCGTCGCATGTTGGGCGGCGGCAGCGACAGCAGCAGCGGCTCTGGCAGTAGCAGCAGCGGCAGCAGTAGTGACTCTGGCAGTAGCAGCAGCGACGACAGTAGCAGCAGCAGTTCCAGCAGTAGCGATTCGGACAGCGACAGTGATAGTGACAGCCGCGGGCGACGACGGCGGCGAGAAGGCCGCGGCGGTGGAGCCAGGAACCGTGCGAAGGGAGAGGTGCAGGAGAAGGCGAGGAGGAGGGGCAAAGGCAATGGCAGTGGCAGCCCTAAGGGACGCAAGTCAAGGGATGACAGGCGGCGGAGTTAGGCTCAGTAACTCAGACGTTTGTATGACATGACAGTTAGGTTGCGATGTCGTGTTCATGGCACGGTGAACAGTAGTGGCTTAAGCCGTGTTGAGAGATTCGACATGGTTGAGTGCAAGAGGGAAAATGCGCGTGGCGGGTGTGCGCGTTCCGGCACGGCATTCCTCTCGGTGCGCGGGTCCAGACAAGTCGGAGCAGGGGTGTGGCTGTGGCGGGGAAGAAGTGGGTCGAATAGGAGCTGGCTATGGTCCTGCCCCCGAGCGCCGCGTTGCGGCTTCCCGCATTCCTGCCTGAGCCTATCTGTATATGAGCTCATCCGACCTGGCGCCGTCGCGTTGCATAGCGCTAAGCCGTGCTTGGAATTTCACGACAGGGCGGGCGGTGTACATTGCTGTGGTGGTGGCTTTGCGTGAATGCCCACACGGCGAAAAGGAGGAAAATGCGCACACCAAGCAGACTTGACGGTTCTCGAAATGTTATTTGTTGGCTGCTGCCAGAGCCGAGGGCGGGGCCGTCTAGCCACTTGCACTACTTCCGTTATGCGATCCCTTTTGTGCTGCTTCTCTGCATACTGGCTCTAATCGCTACCAGCTTCCTATCACTTTGAGACACTGCACAGCCTTCCTGCCGAGCAGAGCAGTACACAGAGGAGTGTTCTTAAGCCTTGATTCAACCTCCAAATGCCTTCGACGTGTGCTAATGGCCAAGGTTCTTGGCTGAGGAACGGGGATTGGCGGCCTACAACGGGCCGTGGCGGGTGGACGATATGACGTGGAGACGAGTGCCGAAAGAATCTGGACCTGGGTTGGGCGATGTACATGTTGCACTGAGAAAAGGCAGGAACCGATTCACCCTGCCCGTTAAAGCTGTAGCCAGGAGGCTTACGCGTTTCGCCACATTTCATAGCAAAAGGCCTGTCTGACGGACGGTGCCAGTAATAGACATTGAACTTGGCGGCATTGTGGGTTCCAAGCCCGCACGGCATCGGTGGACAGCAGGGCTGCAAAGTACGATGTGTGAAACAGGGGGGTGTATCTGCGCCCGTGGCAGCTACCCTGCCTTCCCCGGTATTTCGGGGCACCCTCATCCAGTCACCCTAGTCAACTTCTCAGTGGATCGCTCAGGTTCCGCACCCACCGACGGAATCTGCCAGGTTGTCAGCGGCCCAACTCAATTCCTGGTCGGCTCGTAGGGTATACTTTATCCCAGGTCACCACCGACCATCAACTAGCAAGTTACACCCCTATCGGGAGCACCTTCCACCATCGGAAGAACTTACAACCCTAATGGGTATCGATCCCGGGATCTCCCGGGGGCAATGGTCGCGCCTTATCAGTAGTGCCAAACCCTAGTATGTATGTTGGTGCCGGTTCTGGCCCTGCGTGGCGTACCAGGGCGACCAGGCTGAGAGAAAGCTTAATGTAAGAAGTAAGTCCATGGAGCCACGGACCTTCTTTGCCCGTTGCAGAAGCACGTGAACAGGGCGCGAACACGCAGCCACCAAGGCTCGCACGGCTGACGGTGTCAGCGCGGTTTCGAGCAGGGGCCACTCCCCGGCCCTCCAGTCTTCCCGGTGTTGCTGCAGGCAGCATTACATGGGATATAGGACGGGCGAATGGGAAGGGGTGTGTACCATCTCAAGATATAAGGTGTGTTGGTCAGAGGAAGCGAGCTATGTTCTGGATGTAACGTCGAACGTAGCCTCAGTCAAGAACTAGGGGTTATTACATTTACGTATATGACCAAAGAGCGTTGCATTTGTCTAAACTGTAGCTGCAAGTAGCAAAGAAGTTGGTTGGTTGGTTGAAGGTACGATGATGTCGCCCAGTTTGAGAACTTGAGCGCAGCGCCAGCTGTGTAGCACACATCTATGTTTTCTGTATTTTTACCCACCTTAACATATTCAACCTCTCTAGTAAATGTTTTCAAAAACATCGGTCGCGACGTTTGTAAAACCGTGAGGTCTCCCACGAAGTACATTATCATTCGCGATTAACAAGCTTTTTGTCATAATCTGGAACCGGTGTACGCGCCTGGACGCGAAAACAATGTACTTCCTGGCCGCATACTGCTCTTACATTTTGCTCGTACGGTTTGCGCGAAAGTCCTTGGCTAGGCTGCTGCCCATACGGGGAGGCGCCTACTTTGCAAATGATACTAATTGCTGACAAAGCGGCTGTGGAACCCATTAAATCAGGACCTTTGCTTGCACTTGGCGGTAACATCTTATGCCGCGAATCCTTTTGAGTTTTTCGCTCGGCATTATAGTACATTGAAATAACTGATATCTGGCTCTCGGTGTACCTCGTAAGGCTATTAGGGAGTCGACCGGATAGCGCCAGTCTAAGCCAACAAGTATTATGCCTGGTATGATTATGGAGCATTCGCCATTAATGTAAGATGGGGCTTAATGAAACGAGTGGGCAGAAGGCTGGGCCTTTACTCACGCGTGCCGCTTCGGCGTACTGGCCATTCCGAAATTCCAACCCGCAGCCATGAGAATTGCTGAGTATACCGGGAATATCTAAACGCCTTGACCGAAGATTATGCTTGCACCAGCTCCCCGAGTTTTTGGCCTCCCACTGCCATCGTCCTTTTTCAGGATGTAGCTTCCAGACGTACTTAGCACGAAGCTACTACATGGCGTGAAGGCTTCCAGCTGAGGGCTGCGGGGCGGTGCGTCTGCAGCAGCAGCGGTTTGCGTATCTGCAGATGACATCCCTGTCTCAAAGCCTCGCCAAGCTCCGGTCGCCGGCGGTGCTCATCGCTAAGAATGGCAACTCGCTTGCGCTGCCGAATTATATGGCTGATGAGGTCGAGGAGTCCCGCGCATCCATCGTCGCGGCTCTGTGCAGCGGCAACTCACCTTTGCAAGGTCCTTCTCGGAATCAGTCCTCAAACAGCGTGGCCCTGGCGCAAGTGTGCGATGCCAGCATCGCTGGAGGCGTCGAGGGGGAAGTTATTGTCGGTACCAGCACCGACATCGATGGCGCAATTGCCGATGAGGACGAAGCCGACCGGATTAGCAGCCCAGTTCAGCTTCAGTCCGTTCCCAAGTTCTCCCGACGAACCATTTCGCCACTTTCACCGATGCGAACGCAGCTGGACCTGCAGTCCAGCACTACGACGATCCCCAGCACCAACAGGCTGACCCCGCGCCGGCCCACTTCAGCCAACCCGCCGATGTCCCCACGCAGCCCTCGAAACACCACCGCGCTCGTCTCCATCTCCGACAGCTCGCCGTGCCGCCAGGGCACGGCAACCTCTGACTCTTCCGTACCTCGCCGCGTCAGCAGCGGCGTTTCGGCCGGCGCCGCCAGCCCGAGCATCTTTTCGCGCGCCCGCCCGCTCAGCGCCAGTGCGACGACGCAAGCGCAAGAGCCCACGGGACCTGCCGGCGTCCTGGCGGCGCCGTCGACGGCGCATCAACAGGACCTCGTCGCCGCCTTCCGCGGCCGTTTGCTTCGCGAGTACGACCTCGACGAGGACTCCCTAGACGAAGAAGAGCTCGCTTGTGACATGGCGGCGGCGCAAGACACGTTGGCACGTGCGCTGGAAATGGCGCGCAGCGGCGCCGGCGTGAGTACGACTACGCCCCGCGGAAGCTGCTCCTCCTCGAGCGTGGTCTCAGCCCTGTTACCAATGGGACGGAACTCCGCATTCAATGCAGCGCAGCCTACAGCAGGCAGCAATAGCCCCTTGGGCAGCGGCAGACGCAGCTGCGGGAGCACCAGCGGCGGCGGCGGCGGCGGCCTAAGCCAGGCGAGCTCCGGTCGACCGGCAGCAGAGGCGGAAATATCGCCGTCATCCCCCTCTACGGCATTCGTACAGCAACGGCAGCACTCATCTGACAGCTCCTCTTCTCAACGACGACGCGCCTACGGGCTAGCAGGTGGCAGGAGTTGTAGCGGCGGCGGCGGCGGCGGAAGCGCCGGCGGCGCCATGGGTGAGAGCATCATCGACCGCTTCAGCCGTATTCAACAACTTGGGGACGGTACGACGCCTCCGCCGCTGGGGACATGCGCTGCACGATCCGGGAGCCTGGATCCCCGCACATCCCCCCGCTCCTCCGCGTCGTCATCTCTGTCCCCTAGCCCCCTCGGCAGCGCCAGAGTGCCCAGGTCGCCACTCGCAGCAGCAGCGCCGCCGGGTGGTACGAGCATTTCCAAGATGGTATCCTGGCGGCTGGCGTCGGGGCCGGACAGCACCTGCAGCTCTGCGCCGCCGCCGCCAGCACTGCCAGCAGCTGGCAGCGGCTTCGGGTTGCCTCTGCGCCGCGCTCAAAATCTGGACGTGGGGCCCACCCCCGCTGTGGAGGAGGAGGAGGACATGGAGGCGACAGGGGAAGGGCTGCGGGTCAGCGGGGCCTGTGACGGGGACGACAGCCCCCGGGGTGCGCTTGGCGGTAGCGGCGGCGGCGGCGGCGGCTTCGGCGCCTCAAGCGCTGTCGTCGCCACCGCTGGCGGAGGCTGTGGTGGCGGCGGGCACGGTATCGGTCGGATGAGCCTCAGGCAGGGGATGAGTCCGCTGGCAGTGGGAGCTTCGGTGCCGGCGGTGGGCGGGGTCAACACAGTAACGGCAGCGCATAGCAGCGGCGCAAATGGCAGCACTGGCACAAGCGGCGGCGGCGGCGGGGGCGACAGCGGTGGTGGCGCCGGCGGCGGCGGTCTCAAGGGTTTCTTCAAAATGGCGAAGAAGGCGTTCCGGCGTTCGATTATTGGTGGCGGCGCTCCCGCCGCCGCCGCGCCGGCGTCACCGCTGACCAGTTGTAACCCTGATCTTGGCTCGGTGTTGAAGCCCGTGGCGGCGCCGCCGACGCCGCCGGGGAGGCCGGGACCCCCATCGCCCCCCGGGTTCGGATCGCCGCAAGACCCGTTGGCCGCGATGGCGGCGGCAGCGACGGCGACGGCGGTCCTTGGTGATTCGTCCGCTTGTACACATCTTGGGCTGTCGACGGGTCGCCAGCTGCCAGTCTCGCCGCTCATGGGGTCCGCCACGATGT